GGATAATTGCAATTTAAAAAATGAGATGTCATGTGAGACACTTGCTTAACAAAATCAGAATGGTTAGAACAAATACGTTTAATGCGGAGGCATTGGCTAAATACTATAGAGCACTTAAGGCTAATGGGATGAAAACTATGGAAATCCAAGTAACGGTGATTATCTGTCGGCTTACAGTATAATGAAGTAGTGATGATTCCATTATGAAGACAAACAGATAGGCCTACATCTAGAAATGGTATACAATCATATGAGTGTTCCACAGTGAACTTAATGTTCGGATGGAAATCATTAGCATAAATACAATCATTAAGTGATTTAACCCCATGTTCCCATATGAAAAAAAAATGTCATCGATATATCTATAGTATAATGGGAGGGTTTTAGATGGTGATTAGATATAAGTCCGCTTTCGAGATACGACATGAATATATTGGCATAGCTTGGTGCCATCTTCGTTCCCATCGCCGTTCCTTTGGTTTGCAAGTAGTGTTTCCCATTAAAAACAAAGTTATTATGTGTCAATATAAATCTGATTAACGTGGAAATATCCCGGCTGGGCGTGGATGGGTCGTATTCAGCTATGAATTTTTTTCACATGCAGCAATTCCTTCCTCGTGTGGAATGTTCGTATAAAGTGAAGACACATCCATGGTGAAAAGTATAGCGTTATGATGAAGTTGCGGGATTTCAATGAGTTTCTCTAGGAAATGGGTAGTGTCCCGTATGTAGCTTGGTATTTTAGTGAGTAATTGGTTCAATATTGAATCCACAAATCCTGATATTCGCTCAGTGAGGCTTCCTATCCCCGATATAATTGGTCTGCCCGGTGGCGAAATGTTCAATGATTTGGCGAGGTCATAGATAATAGTAGGCTCTGAGAGAAAATCTGCGTTCGCAGGCATGAGATGAGGTGAAGTTACTAGTGAGTCCGATACAAGCTTGGACAGTTTGTGCAATTTGGGAAGACAGTAAATCACACTGGCTTTCGGGATATCAGGGATCAGTGGTTTGACGGTAGATTTGATATCTGTGCTCAATCTAGATATTGCATCTAGGGCTTCCTTCTTGAATGTTTGGGTTGGATCGGATTGAAGTTGTTTGTAAGACGATTGATCAGATACTTGCTTCTCAATTTCAGCGACATAGTTGTTAGTATGGAACGCCGTTACTGCCTTTGGTGGCTCTTTTCCGTTCGGCGCATTTGCTATTCGGCCCTTTTACATTACGTTCGGTGCTTTTTACATTACGTTCGGTGCTTTTACATTACGTTCGGTGCTTTTTACATTACGTTCGGTGCTTTTACATTACGTTCGGTGCTTTTTACATTACGTTCGGTGCTTTTTACCAGTCGTGAAATTCCTGGTTGTAAGATTGGTCGAGAAAGTTAGATATTTGTTTACCTTGTGTGGCGGTTACTGATCGAGAAAGTCGTTCAGTTGAAGCGGCGATTTCCTAATACGACCAATCCACGCCCAGCCGGGATATTTCCACGTTAATCAGATTTATATTGACACATAATAACTTTGTTTTTAATGGGAAACACTACTTGCAAACCAAAGGAACGGCGATGGGAACGAAGATGGCACCAAGCTATGAAAATATGTTCATGCCTCATCTCAAAAGCGGACTTATATCTTATTACCATCTAAAACCCTCCCATTACTATAGATATATCGATGACATTTTTTTCATATGGGAACATGGGGTTAAATCACTTAATGATTTTATTATTTATGCTAATGATTTCCATCCGAACATTAAGTTCACTGTGGAACACTCATATGATTGTATACCATTTCTAGATGTATCTGTTTGTCTTCATAATGAAATCATCACTACTACATTATACTGTAAGCCGACAGATAATCACCGTTACTTGGATTTCCATAGTTTTCATCCCATCAGCTTTAAGCGCTCTATAGTATTTAGCCAATGCCTCCGCATTAAACGTATTTGTTCTAACCATTCTGATTTTGTTAAGCAAGTGTCTCACATGACATCTCATTTTTTAAATTGCAATTATCCTATATCTTTAATCAAATCTGCAGTATTCAAGGCATCATTAAGATCACGCAATGATTTGCCTGTCTCTTATACACATCTAGATGTGTATAAGAGACAGATCTATAGTAATGGGAGGGTTTTAGATGGTGATTAGATATAAGTCCGCTTTCGAGATACGACATGAATATATTGTCCAGTCAAGGTTGCATCAAATTTTATCGTATGTCTACACAAGAGTTATAGCGGATAGTTATAGTACTTATACACTGATATAAAAAAGTTGACTTAGGTTAAAATTATTTCTATTGATCTCATGATGATGTTTTAATAAAACGAAGACGAGAAAACAGAAATTACATAGGCCTACTTTGATTTTGGTAGGCAGTAGGCCATCCCAACTATCGACAAATAAAAGGCAAAATATGTTTAACACCCAATTTTTTCATCTTCACTTGGTAGAGCATTCTCACCTACCCTAAGCTTGCCTATTAACATTCTGTCTCTTATACACATCTCCGCTTCGTATGTTTTGAATTACTTCAAGGTTATTTTGTTATTTTCTTAATTTAGTACTAAAGATAGTCCGTACCATGGTGCTATGCTCTAGAAAATTACTTTTGAAGATATATTTCTAAAGCAATTCTATTGTGTAAATATACTTATTTAGTGTACGTTTTATTGATGAAGTATATTTACACTACGTCATTCAAATCATGTATGTCGTTGTGTAAATATAGCCTACTTCTTCAATACGTTTTAATGCAGATGATTGTTCTGTTGGCCTCAATACTTCTTAAAGTTTCTTAACAACTAGTTTCTTAAAATATGTACTTAACCGCAATCTACATCATTTCTGGTCCGCTTCACTGCCAGAGGGCTTTCCAAATCTTTTCCAACAGGTCATGAAACAGTTTAGTATTCTTTAAATTAATTCAAGTCTATTTCCTTCATTTAGGTATACATTTACGTAAGCTTTGTACCAGGGTACGATGCACTACAAATACTTTCGCAACATACTTTAGGGCCTGAATTTTGTGTAGGTAAATAAGTTGTTTGGAAGCGAAGTATGGCGGTTTGAAAGTTGGTGAATTTATAAACGTTTCTCGTAGAATGGCCTTCATAAAATTACTAAATTTTAGGGTTTAGAGTTGAAATGTTGAACCCAAACTTAAAAAATAGTAAGATTAAAGGTAATACTTTATATTTATGAATTAATCACATTTTGCTCAAATTTCATGTTATACTGTCTATTGGCCCTTTTTCTCAAAACCTGTTGATGCGAGTTTTTTACAGCCCTTTTGTGGTCTTGGGTCACAATTATCATATCAACTCTAGCCCCGGTTGGTAAACAACTTGTTTGGCGCCTATGAATGTCTGGAAACAGATGCTGGCAACCTACAGCCGCTTTCCCTTCCCCTCAAGGGGCAGCCACAATATATAAAGTTAGCATGGGTGAAAGTCTATGTTTGAAATATGGCACCTCTGGATGCCATGAAATAGCAGCTGGTAAAGCTGTAGAAAATAATATTGTTAAAAATTTTATTTCTTATCATTGCCATAAGTAGATTAATTGAGTTGCTTATTCCTCCAGAAGAGCAAGAAACATGAATACATACTAATGCATAAACCAAAAATGAATATAACATACTGTAATAGTATTTTGTGGAGGGTATTCAGCTATGAAAAATATACAGAATATGCAATAATTAAAACACAGGATACTATTTGCCACACAAATGGACCTGCAGCTTACATGTTATGAACATTAGGCCTACTACTCGTACAATTTTAATTATTCTTGCAAAGTTCGGCATGGAACATTAATAAGTTATTGATCACGCTTTAGAAGTTATATACTATCACTAGAATTGTAAAAAAAAAAATAATAAGTTAAGTGCTGTGTTTGCTTCTGGTAGGCCTTATACCGATTACACATTAATTTTAGTTAACCTTCAGTATATTCATGCAGACAGACCATGCACGTATACTTCCATGGAGAGATCTACCCTGGTAATAAATAAATAACAGAGTACTAATATTAAGGTGATCCAGTTGAGTGGATAGGGGCACAATGCTGCTGAATCATTTTTGAAATTAACTTGCCAAATTTTAAGTAACATAAAAATTATTAACTTTAACATATAAACATTAGTGTATTTAAAAAAGGTTTACCCGTCATTTTACAAAGAAAAATGATAAAAACATTTCCAGTCAATGGAAGTGTTTCATTATTTTTATTATAATTATCCAGTTTAAAAATAAGGGTACACATTTTTGAAATTCAATAATTTCTTTGCTCAAGTTAAAAATATGTGTGCTAATGCAAAAATGAACAAGTTAATTTCAAAATTGTTTTTATGATTTTTTTGTCATTTTCAAGAGACAATACATCTTTAAACCTTGTTTATTTTGATGCCCAGAAAAAATGTGAATTAATGATGATCATAATGAGGGGATGATGATAACAATGACGGTTATGATGAAGGTGATAATAATGATGACGATGATGATGTCGATGGCGATGACGTCGACGATGATGATGAACGGTAATGATGTTCATGTAGGTGTTGGCATGCTTGAGAGTGATGAAGAAACTAATGCAGACTAAAGTGAAGTGAGTTCAATCTGGAATCAAACCGACAAATGCCCCGGTCACGGTGCAGCAGGAATAAAAGCCCTGGAAAAATCAGCAGTTTTGATTTGGTAGAGTCTAATTTAGGTCGCTATTTTTTTAGTCTTATAATAGACCATCGTACCATGATTGAAAAAGTCAATGCGATGCGTACATTCATATAATTCATAATTATCATTACATATTTATTTCAGAAAGTAATGGAATTGAGAAAAAGTGGTCCAGCCATAGCCGGTGCGGCCGGTCCTGTGGTTCTCCGTCCTTGAAAGTGTGGCAAGTAATGGGCTAATCGGATTAGGTCATTAGGTACAGACCAATCGGAAGCAAATGCTCATTTTTTGAAGTAGGGCCTACTGTATTAGTTGCTGTATGTTGGCTTCATACACAGTTTACATACTACAGAATTTATCAGCACTATCAAATAAATGGTAAGAATTTTATATTTGTATACTATATTACAGGGTGTATATAGGCTAGCCCAATATCGTAACTGTTTAGGCTTGCTTTATATATTTGGTTATCTTTTGTTTTAGCTAGGATAACCTAGGCCAGCCAGGCCCTCCGGCCCTAGCCTAGTAGTAGTAGCTCTAGAGTACTGTAGGGTAGTGTAAGAGCATAATTAGCATAATTATTTACTTGTTTAGGCTAGACTGCAAGTTGGATGTGTGGGTTTGAATTATTAGCGGTAATTTTTAATCGCCTAGGCCTAGACTTAACTTTGCAAAATGGCCACGTCATATGTTGAATATAATGTTAAAATGTGGCATGAACCAAGCACAATAATAAAACAGCTATTTATTAATATTGTGTTTAATAATTCATCTTAAGCCCCCATCGCACTGAACTTAATTTGGTCAAATTAACTGAGTCACTGGCTAAATTGACCAAAAAAAAATCCAATCCGAACATCGGTTACAATTCCCTCAGGGTTAAATTAACCAAGCCGAATGGTTAATTTTACCGACCTCAGCCTGCCCAGTAAAACTTACCACGGTCTCGGTTAAACTAACCGCGCTGGTCAAGAAGTCCAATCCGAACGTGCAACACGGTTAAAAAAAACTAACAAACTAGCGCCCTCAATAATATTTTTTATACACAAGGTTAAATCTTGGTAAAACTATGGTAAAACTAACCGCGTGAATAATCCAAGTGCGAACAATGGTGAAATGTACCCATGACTTTGGTTAAAGTTTCCTTGATTAAATTTACCATTTTTTAAATCCAGTGCGAACAATGCTTTATATCATAGGCCTACATACTGCCAGTGGTATAATATCCACATCACTGTCGTGTCATCAGTAATCATTTTCTATTTTTGTTTTTAAAGTTAATAATGTAAATTTTTATATTTTCTTTTAATAAAGAGAAAATTTAACTACAGTAAATATCTTATAATAATATTAACATTATTTAACGCTACGGTTAGTGTAATTAATAATAGAAATATAAAAATTGATATGGGTCTAATTTAGTTGTGTGCATAGGTCTAACTATAAATAATATGGTATTTCTTTCAGGTTTTCAATCCATTGAAAGGAAGTCATGTTTGTTGCAATATATCGAGTGTGGTAGACACTGGGAAAAAACCAACTATTGAATGTGTATTTATTTGTCTCCTGGTACAAAACTGATGGAAGAGCAGCCATGATGAAGCAGTAAAAAAGGTATATAAAAATTTTACAAGAATATATACTGCACATTTGCTAATACCACTATCCCACATCAGTAAGTGACTACCCTACTATGTCACAGTAATCCCTACCATGTCACAGTAATAACCATTTGTTTCTTAATTAATTCTTGGGTACCTAAGAAGTCACAGCATTTGCCTTAATCGTCGTTGTACGAATGTGATTAATAAGTTAAAATTAATTGGGGACAGTCTAATCGTAAATATTATTTTAACATGCTAAATATTCTCCAACGATAAATGGCACCTAACTTCGTAGTATGATGCTGTCAGAGAAAAATGTATTTAAATCTTTAAAAAAAAACCAAAAAAAAAAACAAACATTCTATTATTGAAAGATGTGCTTTAAAGTTTGTTTCAAACTTATTTTGTTCTCCATCCATTCATGTTTGGTGTTGTTCCTAATTATTTAGCAAAAAGTTAAATTGTTTTAGTTTAAGTCCATTATTAACCCAGGTAATTACCATATTCTACTACACAACATTTAATTTAATATTTTGCATATCAAAAGTAATAAAACTGAATGAATATGTGTAAAGGTTAGTGCCACTCCCTATAGAGAAATCTCTAACTGTCCATGTTTGCAATATTATATTCCATAGTGAATATTTTTCAGTATTTGCATCATTATTGGTAATGCTTGCAGTACAGTATATCAATGTAGATTGGTCAGATGTGTATAAGAGACAGCTACATAGTATTCAAGTATTTACTATTTTAAAATTTACCATACAAACTTTAAAACAATATTTCAGTCTTCATTGTTTCAAATATTTTTGTTTTGTTTTTATCTTTCACAAAGGTTCTTGGATACCTTGCTTCAATACCTCTGGTTGGACAAGAAAAGACCTGGCTAAGAATAGTAGAGGGTCAAATAATTTATCACCAAGAAAGTTATTGATTTAAACCGAATCCTGTAACGCGTAAGATTCTTAATTATGCTAAGTGTGCAATATTAGGTCAGTTAAGTTATACCTCCATGGTTAAGACGACAGTAATGCATGATAGGTATATTTTGAAATCTACACATAGTAGCTGTTTTTATAATTATTACAAAAACTCTGATTTAAACATGCCTGTATAGCTACGATACATAATATTTAATGTTTTTTGCAAGTTTCAATTAAAGAAAAATGGTCAAGTATATTTTAAACTCAGTGTATTTTGTAAGTTTAAAGGAATAAACATTGACATTGACTCAACATTAAAAATTTACATTGAAATAACATTGAACATATTTATTACATTGAATCGACGTTGAAATTTACGTTGATGAAAACGTTCATTCACAACCAAAATTCAAAGTTTATTCAACATTGATCATTTGATGTTATTATAACGTTAAATAATTGATGTTGAAACAACTTTAGACAATTTACGTTGAATCAACGTTGAAATTTACGTTGATGAAATCTTTCACATACAACCAAAATTCAACGTTGATTCAACATTGGTTATTTGACGTTGTTCCAAAGTTAAAAAATTAGCGTTGAAAAAACCTTAGACATTTTACGTTGAATCAACGTTGAGATTTACGTTGATGCAAACTTTCATATACAGTACAACAAAAATTAAAGGTAGATTCAATGTTTGCATATTACGTTGAATCAACGTTATTTCAACCAAGTTGTGCCCACTGGGCTGTTAAGCCATGCTGTTTTTTTGTTTTTGTTTTTTTTTTAAATTGCGGGTTTCCCCTGTTTTTTCAGGCCAAACGCCCTCCGTAGTGTCAGCATACGCTGGTCTGATCTAACCACAGTCGTGTATACAATTACAGCCAAACGCTGTGTTGGCAGCTATCCAAAGATTTACCAAGTAATCAATAGGCGCGTTATAAAATGGATTAATGTATAATCCAAAAGGCGAAAATATAAGAAACACTGAGGATATATCTTTATACCTCTCAACCCGGAGGATTTTTTCGGCGCGGACCAATTTTGGCGTGACAGGCCTACCTAAGATTAGAAACTCAAAAATTATGTGAAACAAGGCAATTCCTGTAAGTTATGATGCAAACTTGGACCGAATATACTCATAATTATAATAATAAAGAAGGAAATTGTTACTGGCCTTAGACCGTTTCGAAACCTGTTCAGCATTGCGAATGTTTGTTGTGTAACTTCTCATCCTTGATTGACGATTTTTAAAGTCGTGTAGGCCTGTGCATGTGTCCGCTGTTCTCCTAGCAGGAGCATATTATGAGCGGACCACTAAGCACACTTGTTGGCGCCGAGGATCATCCATGGTATAAAAGTAAAACCATACACTTTGTGCAAAATTATGTTAGGCAAACTGTTCTATCCTCTATAAAGAATTGGTATGGAAACTTGGACTACAAATACATGCGATATCTTTCAAAGGATCAGATAAACTGGTAGGCCTATGATAAGATTCAAAATGTAGTACAAAGCGTTCGTAATAATGCAAAGGAACGATGAAAATTTGTAGTCGTTCCAGTGCGATGATAAATGCAAAAGAGCCTTTTTCGCTGTGACAAGCCAGCTTCACAGATAAATCAAATTATAGTATTATGCAGCTCCCAAAAATATCGGTCTTCCGACCGCAACCAAAACTAAGATAAAAACAAGCGGTGATATCTGCTTATTACACGTCTTTTCCTTATCGTGCCTCCATGAAGAGCTGGTTTTTAAACAGAAGGACTTGCAACCTCCGGGAGACTGACAAAAATATTAAAAATTCTTATTGATATACTATGAAATGTTAAATCAGTTAACCCAGTTTCTAAGGAAAGATATGAAATAATATATGATGGTTTTATATACAGCACATACCGCAACATGTGACTATGCAGTTACTTGGTCGCTATTTTATTTTATATAGTCCTATCACTTTGTTAAACTTACCAAGTGACTGAAAAGAACTCCCCCTCCCCCTCCAAACAGGATAGGCCACCCTCAGTAAAGGATACGGTACGGTAACATTGAATTACTAGGTTTAAT